CCCCCCCCCCCCCCCCCCCCAACGATTCACATACCCCTCAGGGTTTAGGGCTTTAGGGCTGTCGCAGATGATCCTTCCGCCAGCTATGGTTGCTTGATGATCTCACGGTGACCATTTCTCCAGTTGCCGTCCCGCCGGTCCAGCTTTGCCTCAAGGTATACTGCAATCTCAAAATCTCAATATTGCACTATGCCCATCATGGAGTTTTCCATGAAAGCGTCGAACAAGGCCCACCGACATGTGGGACCTCCACATCGAGGCGGACGAGCGCACACAGGTGCCTTGGACCATCGTTTCGGGTTTAAGCTTTAGGGTTCGGAATTAGGGTCATGACTCTCGCAAAATATCCGTCACGGTTCCGAGGCTGGGTATCCGGACTCCGGACACAGTGAAACCTCCCGAAGGCGATACAGGTGTCCATGAGTTGCTGTAGTTAGAGACGTATCCTGGACTCCCGGCGCATTTTCGGCAGTCTGCGAACCGTTAGTATGTTTGTTGATCATGTCCGGTTCCTTTCTGTACCATGCCAATGTTTTGCTTTCCCGGATGCCTGATCAATAATAGCACTGTTGTCACAGGTGGTGGTACTGATCACGACACCGACGAAACTACGGCGATAACTACTACTCCTACTCTTGCTATGTGCAAAGATGATGCCTGAAGCGGTTCTCGTCATCATGATGATAATGAGGCATCGCAATAACAGTAGCAAGACCGTGCAGCAAGGCTGCAAGGAGTGCCAATAATCATGCCATGAAGAATTACTTGGAGGTTGATGGGTAGTTNNGTTATAAGTCCCCTAAGATGGATTATATATAGATATAAAAACATATATAGAGTTACCCAACTTATAACCCTGTTTATAGCTACCCATGACCCTCCAAGTAGTATTCATGGCAAGAGCACACCTTCTGGAATCAGGCATTCTGCTCAGGATCATCTGAGCGCTTATCATCGCAATGCACAGTCGGAGTCAGCACACGTGATCAAGCAGAACCTAGAGTTCACTGGAGACCCTGAAAGAATGCATCGTACGCCCGCAACCAACGCACCACCCCCCCCGAGCTCTACATCCCAACATTCCCAGCTCTCCCGAAGCCTTCTCTCAAGATCTCCGCCCCACTCCCTAACCCTACTTGGAGGTTCATGGGTAGTTATAAGTGGGGTTATAAGTCCCCTAATATGGGTTATAAGTATAGTTACCCTACTTGTAACCCCATTTATAACTAACCATGAACCTCCAAGTAGTCCCGAAATTCCCTAAACCCCGAATCCCCGAAGTCCCTAAACCCCGAGTCCCCAAAGTCCCTGAAGCCCTAAACACCAAAAGTCCTAATCCTCAAGTCGTCCCTACAGCTTCGTCACAGGAAATACACAAGCACCTCTCCTCCTACTCACCCCTAAACCAAAACCCCAGACCCTACACCCTAAACCCTAAACCCCTAAACCCCAAACCCCTCAGCCCAAAACCCCTAAACCCTAAGCCCAAAACCCCTAAACCCTAAGCCCAAATCCCCTAAACCCCAAGCCCAAAACCCCTAAACCCTAAAACCTAAACCCCCAATTCCCCCAAGCCTCAGGACCTCCACAAGCCCAAAACCCCTAAACCCGAAGCCCCAAAACCCTGAACCCCAAGCCCAAAACCACTAAACCCCAAGCCCTAAACCCCCAATTCCCCAAAGCCTCAGGACCTCCACAAGCCCTAAAACCCTAAACCCCGAAGCCCTAAACCCCCAAAGCCTCAGGATCTCCACAAGCCCTTCTCCTCCTACTGCGGCACCAGCGGAGCGCTGAGCAGTTTGGACTTCGGCCAGCTGTTTGCAGGCCATAGGTCCTCCTTCGTTTAGGGTTTAGGGTTTAGGGTTTAGGGTTTAGGGTTTAGGGTTTAGGGTTTAGGGTTTAGGGTTTAGGATTTAGGGTTTAGGGTTTAGGCTTTTTTTCGTAGGTTTTGGGGTGAAAGTCTAGGGCCTAGTAGGGTTTAGGGTTCGAGTCGGGGCAGTTTTGGGATAAAGTCTGTAGGGCTAAGGGTCCTCTGCTTTTTCCGTAGTTTTGGGGTAACTCAAAAAGACGTAGGGTTTAGGGCTCAGGCTTTAGGGTGCTTTTTCGTTTAGGGCTTACTTGGAGGTTCATGGGTAGTTATAAGTGCGTTTATAAGTCCCCTAGTATGGGTTAATTCTACACCCGGACTCTAATTCTGAGTATAGTTGCCCTACTTACAACCCATTTACAACTACCCATGAACCCCCAAGTAGGGTTTAGGGTTAGAGTCGATGAGCGGCTGTTAAAGGATTCTTGCTGGCTGAGGCTTAACCTCTTGGGGATTTAGTATTACCTATAGTCTCCATTGTAGTCCCTTTTTCGGGGATATCTTATAAACTCGTTAATATATATTTGGTTAAACCAAAAAAGGAACTACAATGGAGACTATAGGTAGGGCTCCAGTCTTACCGGTTCTTGTGTTTGGGAGCGTCATCGAGGGATTGACCGGGATTTTAGGGTTTAGGGTTCAGGGATTTTCGGAGCTGTTCCAAGAGAACCCAATACCCCTCAATTGAGGAATAGACCTTAAATCATAATATTAGGACCCCTATAATTTAAGGTATATTCCTTCATTAAGGGGTTCTCTGGGTTCAGGGGCTTAGGAGTCTAGGCGTTTGGTTGGAGTTCGCGGTTTACGGACGTCGGCCTTGGTCCTGGGAGTCAAACCTGGACCCCAAAAGCATGTCGAATAATAGCCTTTTGTGGGTTTTGGGCCATTATTTTGTAGGAAGTTACCACAAGAATAGCTTTCCTACTTATCCTCAAACTACCTGCAAACACCATGGGTTAACTTACAGGCTTTGGACAGCTCAAGTACCCGTTTAAGAGTTCCCGGCTCCAGAGCTACAAGTCAAGGTCTTTAATGAACGTGGGTTGGCAGTCAGGGATTAGGCAAGAAGTCTGCAAGCAATACGAGATCGAGTAAGGCTCGGACAACTTTAGACTTTAGCCACATGGTTCAAGTATGCAAGCTGCGCCTAATCCAGCACGACGGCGACACCGGCCACTTCTGCGGTAATTCCTCGCAATTCTTGCAGGGACCTTTGTGCTCCCCACCTGGGCAGCACAAAGTGGCTGTTTACTGGTTTAGGGCTCCCGGAACCACGCTTGGGAATGACACGTAACACACTCTGGGTTTAGGGTTTTAGGGTTCAGGATTTAGGGTTTGGGGTTAAAGGTTTAGGGTTCAGGATTTAGGGTTTGGGGTTTGGGGTTTTTAGGGTTCCTTGGTGCTGGTGTTATTTTTAGGAAGATCCCTAAACCCTAAACCCTAAACCCTAAACCCTAAACCCTGAACCCCATCCGCGTTGTTGCCGTCCGACTCTCAGACCCCTTTCGCCGGCTTCCTCGTCCTAGAGCCCTGATGGCCGCATGCTCTGGTGGGTTCTTGTTAAGGGATTTGATTTCAAGCTACCATAATGGGGATCCATAGTAATGTTAAGGGGTACAGTTTAAGTTACTAGAATAGGGATCTATAGTAGATCATAGAGTTTCCTTAGTATGGTAACTTTAAAGTAAGTCCCTTAACAAGAACTCACCAGTACGTATCCGAGCAGAGACCCTTAAACCCTAAGCCACGAAACCCTCAGATGGGTCCTGGTTGGATACAATGTTATACTATGGTTTAGGGTTTAGGGTTTAGGGTTTGTTATATATAGTAAAACCCAACAAGGAGTAAAGACTGATCATCTTAAATAGAGCCCCACTAGGGAACCAGTCACGTCTAAATCCAACTTCGCGGAGTCTGGAGGTGACACAGGAACGAGCCAGACAACCTGCAAGTTCGCGCCGTTGATTCAGCAGCTGGGACTCGGTTCAGGAAGTAACCTAAAACCAGTTGGGCATGGCAATCCTCCAAACTCTTGGCTTAGCCTACAGTTGCCCGAGATTCGAGGTTTTGCGAGCCCTCCTCTGATTGAGGATATCCGGTGCGATATGACAAAGTTTTTCCAATCTGTCCTAAGCGCATGCTCTTATGCAGTACCCAAAACTCCAAGACTGCTCAGACATTGCACCTCACCCGACTTTATAGTACCTTGGCGCTTGAAGAACCACAAAATATCGTGATACCTCCTGCCATCAGAGCATGTCTTAGAGCATGTCGTAGTCCAGAAATAGCTGTGGCAGTAGCCCAAAAACCCTACCTATAGTCTCCATTGTAGTTCCTCTGGGGGGATACCTTATAAAATCGTTAAT